CGCACGAGCGACACGCGACGCACGAGCGACACGCGACGCACGAGCGACACGCGACGCACGAGCGACACGCGACGCTCGAGCGACACGCGACGCACGAGCGACACGCGACGCACGAGCGACACGCGACGTACGAGCGACACGGGACTCTAGCGCGACACGGGCAGACACAAACACGACCATTGTCCTTTAAACTTCCATTAATATATCAAACTCTTCCTAATTCAACGAAAATTCTAATATATAGATGAAATTTAAAAATAATATAAAAAAAGATTTGTATTACTGTAAATAAACAATTTTTTAGTAAAATATGCAATAATTTAGACAATATTCGTGATTTGAACTGACATTCCGATGTGCGAACTAAACGAGACGTGACCTACACACAACAACTTTACCATATTATTAATTTATTTGAATTTCAATACATTGTCTAAGAAAATATGTATTTTTCTACACAAATATTGTAACTACTGAACGCTAATTAATTATTTAAATGTGTAAGAAATTGCATACAACAATACTTTCACTCCATATACTAAATAATATTTAACACAAACACACGGAACTAATACAAAGTAAAACATAGAAAAAAAACGCAGTACATATATTTTTCTATATATCTATATGTATATGGAGTGAATTCACATATTTACATATATAATTAGCGAAGAGCGTATGCAGATATAGTTAGCAGCCAACACCGCGCCTTGACGTGCATTTCTCACACTTATATCTCCCGTTTAAAATATATTTTTATCTCCATTTTGTCAAAGATAATGACAGGGACGATACCTTTTATACAGAGATTTAGGTGTAAGAAACAAACGGTTGGACGTACAGATTCAAACCCTAATTATATAGAGATATGATAGAATGTCGTGTGGCAAAGTGTTAGTGTCATTTTGTCACTGTCACTAAATGAGTATTGTCTACTTGTATGTACAAACGTGTCATGTAATGTTGCTTTATGTTTTATAACATTTTTCAAGCAAAACAAACCTTTATTGCTAATTATAAAGTGCATATTATATAGCAGTCAAAATGTTCAACTACCCGCAATTCTTTCTGTCAAATTATGTATTCACATTACAATGTATGTCGAAGTTAACATAACTGTTCGATAATTAACAACAGTAGATCTAATATTGTGCACGTATTCATGATTTTAATATACTTTCGTCTACTTTCAATGAAATAACAACTTTATGGTTTACACAATAGAGTTCAAAATGAGCACAATCACGTCACTTACTGCATGCAACACTCTACGCGCACTCCGTGACAAGACAACGCATGTTTCTCATCTAGAAACACAATTATTTTACTTCAATATATTTATATTTCAAGTTACAACGCGAAATTTTTATTTTAAATTGCTTTAAAATTTCATTGTTTACTTTATGTAGCAATTTTTGTCACGTCGTTTATTTCGACGATCAAGAAAACTAAATAAAATTAAAACATTATTCAGTAAACAATATTTATTATTGATTGACAATATTAAAGCGAAGAAGAGCGAAGAGTAGCTCACGTTAGAACAACAGAACAACAAAACAACACCTAACAAACGTATCACGAACGACGATCACAAAAACTCCAAGTGCTAAGAAACGCGTCTAATTAATAAGCGATAGATTGATATTATACAAAATTAACTTTGACACATTAGCAATAAGGTACAAATTGGAGAAGACGACTTGTTCATTTAACAAGCGAATAACTTTACACTAATTATACGTCAACGGCTGTAATTTGAAGAAATGTTATGTAAAGGCGCCATGTAGGAGTTGCCGTCTTCCCCAGCGCAGGTTTGTTAGCTATATGTATACACTTATGTATATGTAGCATAGAATAAGTACAACTATGTTAATATATCTTTGTCGGCAAACATATCAGTTACTCCGTCGGTGGACTTGTGTGTTGGAGCGGTCAGAGCGGTCAGAGCGGTCAGAGCGGCGGAGCGGGCACAGGGTTAACATTAACTAACATCTTAAATCAATATAAACAGAACACTTACAAAATAATATCCTAAAGGATCCAATCAGTAAACCTATTCAAACATTATAACAAGTTAAAACTTGTCTATATTTGTGTGTTTAATATAACAAATGATAGACAAAGTGAGCAACGAAGTTACACGTATTTACAGAAGAAAGTGACACACTAACCTATAGTAAAATACATGTGAGTGCCACTACACAGCAGACATGTGTCGCGACCTCACTGTCCGCTCTGTCCGCTCCGCGGCGGATGTATCCTAAGAGTGCGAGGCGCGCTTGCCGAGCTTGCCCTGTGCGCGTCGCGCGCCCGTACCGTTGCGCTCGCCGTGCGCGCTCGCCAACATGCTCGCCGCGCTCGCCGCACCCGCACCTGCTACCCCCGCCCCGGGGTGCGGGATGCGGAACAGACGGATCTTCAGATGGTCGCAGATCTCCAGGCAGATCTGACCGCAGTACCGGATCAGGTCCACGCACACCCAAATCTGAAAATTTTTACATTCATATTTTTAAATATACGTCACAAATATACCGAAGCTTTACTACAGATAAATTGGCTATTTTCTTAAACCGTTTACAAGATAAAATACAAACAGTATTGATATAAGATTAATCTTTAGTACCTTTTTAGTATAGAATATTTTTATATAATTTAGTCAAATTGCTTAAATGGAATATTTTGTTATATTAGTATATAGATATTGTAGTGAGCAGAGAGTGGAGAGTGGAGAGTGTAGAGTGTGGAGAGTGAGCATACCGTGCAGAGCCAGAGCACAGCGTACTCGGGCAGCGCGTTGTTGAAGTACTGGTTGAGGAAGAGCATGGCGGGGCCCAGCAGCGACCAGTCGTAGTACTCCATCTCGCTCTTCGTCATGTGCGCCACCTGACACACGCACACACACTGACAACTGACCAGTCACACACGGTTCAACATGAGCTAGGTAACTGCAGGATAATGTAGCATTATAATGTGAAAATAATGATTTAAATTGGTCTGTTCGTAGATAAATGAGTCATACTATTATAATTTATTGTATGATAATTGTTTCAGATATAGCGCGAGACTAAATATAGAATTGATACTGCGTTTCCAGTCAATCAACTTTGCAATGCAAGCTCAAAGCTCTTTTATCTCGCCACCTTTGACACGAAGGATATAAAACTAAAATTGTTTAGCTCAAATTACTGCTGGTCTACATTCAACAATACCGTATTTCATGTCTCTTTGTAGAAATATTAATAGCGTTAATGAAAAAAGACAAATTAGGCCTTCGGCACGAAAACTCAACAAGCGAACACAGATTTACTTCTACTTCTTCACGGTTGTCTTGTGTGTGGTCGTGGTATTTCACCGCGCGAGCTGGATGATTAGTGCAACAAATGTTGTCATTGGCGTCTACCACTGTTGAAATATTATATATTTATAGTTATACAGTTTGCTTACCACAAGTCTATTGGTGACTTTGGCGGCGACCATGCCGAACGCCAGTATGTATAACGAGGGGTGGTTCTCGTACACGTGGGACTCGCTCTTCTGGAAGATGATGAAGGCGGGCACCACCACCAGCGAGAAGGGGATCACCGGAGACAGGATGCTGGTGCCCTGCGGACACCACCGGCTGTAACACGGACTCAACGCGCACCGCGTTACACCACAAACTGCTAAACTAACACTCCAATCGACTATTCAAACACACTCTTATTGTAGATTATAACTAAATCGACGCTAAAGGTCTCCCTTAGTGGCCACCAAACAACTGAATGTTGGTCGCCACCAACTAGTCCGACTCTTCGGCATATCTATCAGCTGTCAAATCTGAATTAACTCTTTTCTTACTCGTAATTTAAGACTTCATATAGTTGACATGTTCACACAGATGCTGTGAAGTTATTTGACAGTAATTGTGTTATTGTTCAGGAATGGAAACTTAAACATTGCATTTAAATGTAGTGAATTCAACACAATCATTTATACAAACAATAATTTTTCTATTCATACACATACCAAATTCTAATCGCGATAAAAATAATCTGCCACATACCAAGGCAACAAACAATGTTAGCAATAAAATGAAAAGTTATTCAAAAACAAAATCATGCGATCATAGAACATGCAAAAAACATAAAACACATGCAACAGACAGACAGACAGACAGACAGACACGTGCGCGCGTGATTTCAACTAAAAATAAAACTCAAAAAATTACAAATATATTTCTTAATCTGTTGATTTATGTGATTTGTAATCACGTGCGCATATATAACTATGAATTTCTACAATCGAAACACTCGTACAAAAACCAAATGAACTTGTATCTTTGTACAAATGTTTCGTCAGTGTAAACTCACAGCAACGAGGAGCATAGCACAGATGCACAGCACACAGCATTCTGTTACCAAGCAGTTACTCTTAGCTGACATTCCACTGAGTACGCGACCTCATAACTCTTACCAGCTATCCTTACACTGATTTTAAATTTAACTGACTAATAAAATATCTGAAACTTGATCTTGTTTTGTATTGGTATCGTGCTAAATAAGGACTAATTGAAGTCTCTACTGTCGTAGAGCACGTACCATCGACAATATAACATATAAGATGCACATTTGATAGTAGAGTCGTGCTTTATTATTATTATAAATTAATATTTAGTAACATATAAGATATTGAAGTTGACAAGATACAATGATACATGCGAGATTACATTCGACATATACATTTAACATTGTCATTCAGTCCCGCTTTGAGCAATTGTATATATAGATTCCCGGAGCAAGCGCGCGGCGTGTGGCTATATGACGTCACACGTCACGTCACGTCACTTCACTGGGCGGCAGACAATGGGCACGGTGCACATCGTATAAAGCAAGGTCTTACTGCGACTGTGGAGCCGTTCTTCCCCACGCCGCCTCTCATAATGACTTTAACGTAGCCGAACACGAGAGAGAGGGTCACTAGGACGACGGCATAGTTGGACACCAAGTTAATGGCGAGGTCGACGGTCGGGAGCTGCAGGTTGCCGGTCAGTGTAACGTTGTCGTGTCGTGTCGGTACGAGCGGCGGCCGGCGGCAGCAACAGAAAAAGAGAAATAAAAAAACATGCCATTAATACCGAGGAAGTCCTCAAGCGACCGCCTCCGGATGATGACATGGTGTGCTATCTTCACTCATTGGTCCGTTCTCGTTAATCACATCCCTACACCCTACGTACAGAGACCTCGACCGAAGCGCCAATACTTCAACCAATACTATAAAACTAAAATTAAACAACACCCGTATAAAGAAATGCTAAACCTATAAGCAACCATCTATGGCTCGAGAAATTGTTGATCTTGCGATAGGCGAAAGTAAAATAAAAGTGTTCGTAAAAAACTGTGTTACCACGTGACGCCTTCAAATGTAAGCGTGAATCAAGAAGTGAAGCCTGAAATACCGACCACTATCCCAATATAAACTCCGCCACGAACACACAGATTATTTACGAAATCTTTTCCCACATATATGTTTAATTATCACAGAGTTACAATTCGTAAATACTCTGTGCGATCGGTGGCGGCGTGTGATGAGGGGTTCTTACGGCGACGGTCGAGCCGTTCTTGCCGCACCCCCCGATGCGGAAGATGGTGGCGAAGTTGGCTAGCAGCAGCAGCTGCACGGCGTCGGACAGCACGCACGCCACCAGCGACATGGGCCACTCCGCACCCGACAGCTGCTCGCGCCCCAACAACAACATTTACCTACTACGTCTCCTCTCACCGATCATCGTAACTATATACTTTGTTTTCAGCTTCCAATTGTCTTAAATACATCACATCGAATGGTCCATTTTCTTAATGTTTAATGTATGATTTTGGTATGAAATCTTATGACCGATGATAAGCTTTTGGAAATGTAATGATGACATTGTAGACACTATTCTATTTATTGCTTTATTAAAATTCGCGAGGAGAAACGGGTTATTAGCATAGTTATCGAGTATATTTCATATGTTTAAAGTAGCGTGGTATCCTGTAGATAATGTAAACAACAACGTAGTAAATACTAGTGAAATACGATTATAGCAAATTGAGCCTAATCTGTCTACGTTAACGACAAATTACACTATACTATAAATATAAAACCTTTACAGATAACAACAAAACTTATATACATACGAATATTTTCCACCAATTAATTTGAATACATCGGTTACCGTTATATTTATCCCTAAATCAATTATATCTAAAAACGTTACTCTAGCAATAAATGTAAGATGAACGAATGAATGAACGTGACCGAATGAGTGAACACGCACGACATGATACACAAACACACAATGACATCGATAATATGAAAAACTAACCACTTAATATAATAAAATTAAGTACTTTAGACCATGCTCAATGTTAGACGTTCACATAATAGGGACATCATCATCGTATGATAAAACATTTCAAAACAAAATTATTCATTGTATAAAGAAATAAGCAACTTTTATTTTAAGAGAATAAATTAAAATTAAAAAGCAGTAAGATTTGTTGTTCCATCGTATTTATAATGTAGGCAGCAGCTACTTGTCCAAACTAGTCGCTCACTTGTTACTTTTTAATCAAAATTTTGTAAAATAATACGAATAACGATGTCTCTATTATATTGCAATAAGATATAAAAAGTAAATAAATAACAATGAGCATAACCCAAATGCCATAAATTAGGACCGGACTAGACATGCTATTAAAAAAACCCACATGATGATTAATAAGCGAAACCAAAATACCTCATTACAACCGAATGATAACTAAAATTAACACTAAGTTACACCTTCAGTACGCACCACCTAATTGACGAATAATACGCGCGATAAAACTATTCAAATATATAATAAAAATTTTAGTAATGAGTTGGGGGTATGGGGGTAATTTACGATAAAGTGATACAAATTCCTGTAGGATGATTGAAATTTTGAGTATAATTTGCCAAATTTCGATCAATAACCCTGATCATGGTTCACAAATGACACAAACGTAACCCCAAAAAATTTTGAAAAAATTGCCAAAACCCCCACCCTACACCTACCGTTACCGTATACAACTAACGTATATCCATTGCATTGCATCAACCCCCAAACCCCCAATATAAATATGTTGTCGCTCACTGCAACCGTGGAGCCATTCTTGCCGACGCCGCCGGCCAGTATGGCCGTGGTCAATGTGCCCAGCGTGAGCGCCGCGCCCACCACAGCCACGCCGGCCAGCGAATACCGCACTTCCAGGCCGCCCACCTACGCGGCACACGGCACACACGTCACCCACCGACCGACATCATTCATCATTTACATACTTAAGGTACACAGAAATAAATCATAGTTTACGCAACTTGCAGATACAGTTGCCATAGCAACCGCTGGACTGGCTGTCCGATAACCCCAACCAACGGTCAGTCGGCAGATGCATCGTAGTGCAAATCAAAAATTAGGTCCATTTATGTTTTATCTGCGTTTAATTATACAGCTGACAATGTTCCAGAAAACCGTATAGAGGCCTTGAATGAAAGAAGTTACGGAGATATTATAGAAATTTTTTTCCGCTTTACGTCAGTACATGCAGTATTTCTTTGAGTTTCTTATTACTGTAAATATAATATCATGCTCGCCCACTGATAAGTACAATTAGTTGGTGCGAGTTTAGTTTCCCCAGGTTAGTTGGAAATGGTACGTCATTGGATTAAAATTGTTGTTAGAATCCAAGAGCAGTCCATTAAATATAAATAGTTATATGAAAATCTAAATTAACAACATCATACACATAGTTATCATATGTAATTTATCTAATCTATACATTTAACTTTAGACAGTACAACTAAAAATTAACTCGTAAACTAACATAACCTCCAACTTAATTACCGTAGCGTCATGTGGGAATTTTTAAAAATAAATGCCTTTCGTTTATAACGTAACAAACATGAAAATATGCATTACGATGATCAGATGATGGTTTTGTAACGAACGTACATTAACTTCAAAATCCAATTATATTATTATGTAAAAAAATCCAAAGATTACCGACTCTTATTTTTAATAGACTTTGAGTGCCACAGTCAGAGCGGTTGATTGGTTGCTAAGTCCTCTTAGCGTTTAGGTAAATAAACGTACTTAAATAATAATTAACCAACTCTGGGTGTGGCAACAAGAGTATAGTTACCCACCACCATTCGACCATGTATGACTAGAATGGGTGGAACACATTACCTTGGTAGCCCAGAAGTCGGAGCCGAGTGTGGCGGAGATGAGTTGGATGGCCATGATGGCGTACTGCGCCTCGGTGACGTCAACACGGCCCATCTTTAGCGTGCCCGTGACGTATGCCTGCCAGTGCGCGCAGTAGAACAGTGTCATCGCACAGAAACACTGGAAAACGTAACAGTAACTCGAAATTATCAAATCATCATCATCTAAGGTATAGCTGATTTGGGTGGACTTAGAACTACTGCAATAAATATTTTTTTTTATTTTTTATCAAAGTCTTTATTAACAAACTGACAAGTTTTAGGAACTTCATTTTACAATGGTTTTTGAATTACAAAAGTAAAAATCAATCAAATATTTCGCTTTTGTCAAATTGATAACAAAACTACAATAAATTAAAGTAGAACGTAGAAAATGTGATAGTTGCTACTGTTGCTTAAAAAAAAGTAAAAGTTATATCGAACGAGAGTGAAATTCTTTAGAAAGTACGAAATCGTTCCTAGATTGCTTACTTGTTTTTTCAAACGTAACAGCAAACGAATTCTAGCTTTACCGATATAAAACGTGTCAGAAGTGGCCAAAGCGTTGTGATAAAAAGGAGAATGCATCCTCATCATGCTTTGATAACGTGTACTTTGTAGCAAACAAGACAAGAGAACAGTCTACTCTAGACTTGGCAAGCTGTCGCTCGGTGCGGCGCCGCACAGTTGCCAAGTGCTAACGCCGCGCCGGCCATTGTTACTGCCATACACTCATATGCTCATGATACATGCTCTAAATATTCTCCTAACTCAACGATACAGTCACCACCGAACCTAATAATCGAATCTAAAGATCCGAAGCATACTTGTATAAAGCAAAGCATTAGCAACGAACATCCGCTTTCGTTAGTGTCGAAATAAAAACTAGTAAGAATCTTCGACTAGTAACAAAAATTTAACGGTCGATATTGGTAAGCCTAAAGCAAAAAGTCTACAGAAATGAATTACGCGTGCCAATCATAAATGAATATGCAATTAACAATTATTGCGATATTGCCTTCGTAAAAGTGAAAAGCACCACACCTATACCCATTTGGTTACCCCACTACATTATTTAAACATGGAATTTCACTGTCGCAATACTGCTACAATAACATTTTATCATCTCTCTCATCTTCTTTATAACAACAGATATAATATATTTTGTACATTTATGTAGTGGAGACTCACAGATATCAAAACAATGCATTGTCTCCAACAAGAAAGTTGCACAACTGAGGTTGAGGAGAACTTATATTATACAACAATGTGTTGGCCGCGACATTCACCTTGCCCTCGCTGTACACACGACATGACACCTCGGATCTCATGTCAATGCAACACCGGGTCGATGACTTTACTCCACTGATACACGACCACAACACGTATATCTTTGTATCGGGCATATAAGTTATATGAAATATTATTTATAAGTGCCGTGTCTTCTGTTTAGAAGTTGGACTTGTTTTATTTTTAAATGTAGAACTTAGAAATTGCCAAAGTTAACTAACATTAAAACAGAATCAGCACTCAGTGCGTTCTATAATTTTTACACGACTCACTCTAACGGTTAACATATGTGCTACTCAAGCATAATCAACTCAATAACGCTGGCCGCGAAAAAAGATAGCAGACTAGAACGATTGCATATAACCAGTATAAATGCAGTAAAATAAGAAAGTTTAGGAGGAAAATGAAGTCTAGCAGAAGCACAAGGCTATCAGAGATTGCATAAAAATAAAGATTTACACTTTAATTGTTGAGCTAAAATAAATTTAATATAAACACGAAGCATTCCAAGATAAAGCCGAGATTGTAGATTTGGGCAGGCATCCAAAGAGTAAGATGTATAAAATGTGAGTGGTCAATACGTCTGTTTGAAGCCACAAACGCGACGCGACGCGACCTAGGCCGTACCATTGAACTTCAAACTTCGTGTCGAGGTCGAAAGCGATATTACCACACAATGTGCCTCAATCACTCTAACCTAACTTTATATTTGAGCATGTTAATTTTATTGATTTAATTCAGAAAATATAAAAGATAGGTAATATTTATCAATAGGAACAACACTTGTGTCAAACTTATTCAAGGTCAACAGACTGCGTCCGGAGAAGCGGAAGGGGGAGAGACTACAGTAAGCGCTATATTGCAAATTAACTAATCAAACATTCCACAACGACATGTACAAACGTAATTACGTCATTTATTTATTCCACATTCGTCGGCTTCCGTAAAAGTTATACTAGCTGTCACCTGGTCTTCCACATTTTATTTAATTTTTGTACATCAGTAACTTATAGAGTTTGGCACACAATCTGAATATTTTCTAAAGTGAAATATTGCCAAGTAAATTTTGTTTTAGATAATGACAACATTTTAAAATGACCAATTAGTTAACAATAATTTTAGGATATTTTTGCCGGCGTACTAAAATATTTACAGTTTCCTTCAGTTAAGGAAACACAAGTGTTATTAACATTAATCGACAATATATTGATACGACATAATCTGTGACTAGACAGATCACGTGTGTGCGGATATCTAGTAATAACATCACAACATAAAGGTCTAACACACTGAACGCTACAAATATTGTGTTTTTAAAACTCTATTTATCAAGTATTTACATAATTCTCTATATGAGAAACAATTATACAATAAAATACAATTCCAATTACACCAATTTAAATTCAAATATGTATATAGAGTTATCATATAGCTACTATGTATAATATTATATAACGTAATCATTCGCGATGCGGAAGTCCTCGACTATTCACTTCGATTATAAGTATTATAAATGTGCTAAAATAATTATCGTATGGTTTTTTTTTTGATTACGTAACGCACGATGACAATGACGATACATTTTTATATTATTTTTTCTACTCTTCTAATTGTTACTCAGAATTGACGTACATTTATATTTTAATAGTATCATAGATAAGATTTTAATGGGAAATTCGCGTATATATCTTATTTGTATTACGCGATTGAAATTGTTGCAATAAAAAATAATGCGTCTTAAATGGATTATAACCGCTACGTTTAACTATGTTATAAATAACGCAAAAGCATCCTGTTTTAGCTACAATTTCATTAGCAGTTTGTAATATATTGGCAATAAACGATTTGCAATTTATTAAAACGAGCAAATAATTGAATAAGTAATACAAACATCCGTTTGTTGTAGCGAGTTGATTCACATGAGAGGTCATTCACCGACATTTGTGATACGACCCGACACAAGCGATTGTGTTAAGTCAGACTTTAGTTGAGGAAACTGTAACGGCCAGTGCAATCTAGTTAGCAATGCGAAACCGATCCGGTTTAGCGCGCTAAATGAAGTAAAATCTTTCCTAGCCACTTCATAAATATTGAAGTCACCGCAATCATTAATAATGCTTGCGTCACTTGCAAGTGCTGATTCCAATTTAAGCATAGGTCAGTTAAGAAACTTGCGTAGATTAAAACTTTTAATGCAACTTGTGGATTCAGTAGCTCATATTCTCTAGATACTGAAATTGTATTTAAACACTATCAATAAGATACACAAAAATCTAAGACACTAGACTAAAGCTAATTTGCATCAAGCTCTCAACATACAATATTGAAATATGAGCCTGCATGAACGCCAGCACTAATATAAACAATATCACATATAAATATATTTTTACCAGCTTGTGGTTTAGTCTTTGAAGTTGCTGCCATCATTTGTTTGAATGTTTTAGGTTCAGCGCAATCATTATTTACTCCGCTTCGTAAATATATTTAAATAAAGCCAAATTTAAACAGATGGCAGACTAAAATTATTTAAAGCAAACATTACAGGAGGTTGGGGAGGCATGCTGCTGACTGTATATAATAATTGAATTTACTAGTTTTTTTAAGCTTAGGGAACAAATGATGCTATATATAATAGTAAAATGACATCATGATAGATGTTAACAATTCCAAAGATTGTAATAAAACTTGATATATGCCGATTACTTACTATATTAAAAACCTAAAGTTGAACTTATAAAATTACTCTTTCTCTTCTTTTAAACAAAATGTTGAATACAACACACAGTTGTTAATTTTTTTTTAAGTAATACCTAAACTAAATCCACACTTATTTATCTAGTCAACAATAAATAGTTTGAGTGTTATCATAAATAGTAATACTGACCTGGAAGAACATCCATGTTGGATACTCTCCGAGTTTAACAGCTATGCATGCACCCAGCGCTATGAAAACAGTGGATATGCTGTCACAGCCGTGGTCGAAGAGCTCCCCGAGCGGTGACTGGCTGCCGGTGCGGCGCGCCTGCTTGCCATCAATGGCGTCCAGGCTCTGGTAAACGAACACGCCCAGCGCACAAGCCGCGCATGCCCACCGCGGCACCTCCTGCCGCGCATCAGGACTGTACCTGCTCACATCACAAATAGCTAAGCATTGCAACCTCCCAATCTTTTTATTTCACTTTTAATGGAGTCAGTTCATGTTTTCCAATTCCAAATCAATTTATCATTACTCATTTTTGTCTTCTTAAGTATTTTTTCACTCAAATAACCAAATAGCTAATAAAATATTCAATAATCATTTTAAATATGAACAAACATGCATATTACTAAATATGTTAACAAAAATGTATTATTTTTCAATAAATTTGCTTGTTAACGTTTCAAGTATGATGTGGGGGCTTTCAAGAGTTGAGTGAATATTTAGTAAGTTAGCACCTACTGTCTTTCGACCACATCATAACTCAACATCAGGTGGGATTGTGGTCATGCGGAACCTTACTCAATATAAAAAAACTATCCATACATTGTCTATCAAAAAATGTGTAATGGACTACAAGAATTCAAGATTTCTCAGTTTACAACATTCTAATGACTATGAAATGACAGTATTTTCAATGATGAGTAATGTAAATATAAAATGTGTATTAAGAAATAAAAAGTAATTATACATATAATTTATGGAATAATAATAAATATAAAATAAATAATCAGTGTTAATATTTTTGATAATTGAATACTATTAACAATTATATGATGTTAAGAGATTTTGATATCTGATTATTTTACTACTAGTATCTTATCGGCAGAAAGTGGCGCGGCCTAGGTTACGACCAATCGCATCATTTCAGAATTTCATATAACAATCACAATCTATATTATACATCCCAATATCGTCTCTAATTAAAACTCGTTTTAGAATGTAGGCTAAAAGAAAGCACGGGGTTCCTATGAAGCAATAACGAAAGTCGTTCCGCTTGTTTTCCCATGACATATATTTTATTTTATTGTAAGGCATATATAAAAATATACTCACCAAACTAATATTAATGTTGTCACTACATTTACAATTAGACCTAAAATTGTAATGAGATTCGGAGCGAGCCATAGCGGCGTCTTAGACACCAGCCAGCACCACCAAGGTTGAAGCCATGCGTCCAATATACTAGCACTGGTACACGAATATTTATGTTCACTTAATCTTTTTAACTGTGCAGCGTTCAAAATCCTTTCCTTATAGAACTGCATTTTATTGCACTGTCACGACATTTAACGAATAGTTATATACACGTAAGAGAAATTATTTAAATCACTATTTGCTAAATTATCAAAACGAAAACGAAAATTCGCACATTCGCACAACCACATTTGACACTGACAGCTCTAGGGATGGGGTCATAGATAATACACATTAACTAGCTATTGCTGGATTCAACGCACTAGTTGAATCATCCGTTGATCAACCTTTAGCGTTTCAACCGTTAACCGTTTTTCATTTATTTCGTTGAATTCAACGAAAATCTACATGGGAATCAATACTTTTTTCTCCGTCAGTCTTCGAGTGTTTGTTCATTGATTGTATGATTAACTTGTCTAGTTGACAAAATTAACCAATTTTCCAACTAGTTGAAAAAATAAAATTAACCATTTCGTTTCATATACGCCTAACCGTTAACAACCTACCCTTACACAACACAGCACCAAAATTTTTCACTCAATCAATCAGCAAACCACCTCCGTGAACACCGACTGACATGAAATAAATGACAGGCTATATACGTGGTATGTTGTGTCTATTTGATTTACGCCATTTTGGTAACTCGACAAAAGATTAGGTAATGTGAAACGTATCGATAACATTTGTCTGCAACTAGAATTATTTTATAATTATGGATGTTTTATTTTTCTGCTAATTTTTTTTGTAGTTACAGAATAGAGAATTGTTTCTGAGTTAATACTTTTTCTTTTTTCAATCACTCTCAAACAATGATCTTTATTAATGGATGGGATATAATTTGAAAACGATAGCTTTTGCTTTGTTCCAACTGAAACGCACCTGTTAAATTTCCTGATATTAACAAAATTAATACTTGTCGTTCCAAATTCCAAAAATAAATATTGCTTGCCATTTCATGTTAAGCTAAAATAGTCAACTGCTCCGTCTTCGCCCGGATATACTGACTTCTCCCGGCGACATCCCGACCCGTAAAAATCTTGTAAAACAGACGCGACCGGCCAGTGAGCTGAATTTTCAGTAGCGGTTATTTTTTGTAATCGTGATATCTTTTTAAATATCTGTCAGAATTTTATACTGTGAAAAGCAATTTTAATCTACAAAACGTTTCCCCCAAAACCAACACATTTATTTTAATAACGATTAATTTTAAAACCGAGCTTTTAGCATGATGTTTGAATAAAATCTTCAGGCAAATTATTTTACTAATTACATTCTCTTTGTATTTGACTTTTTGAAGGGGGCTATAATCTAAGTGGTTTGTCTTGTCGACAATGTATAATAAATAATGAAACAGGATATTTTGATTCAACAATATTTATATTTTAATTACAATATTGATCATTAAGATTGGCCGATAATTAAAAATAACAAAATATTACTACAAATTTTTAAGTCTTGATATTGTATTATATTTCTTAATACAATATGATTTACATGACACACGATTATAAGTTAATCCAACTTTATGTACTTATATAATAGATTACTTATTTACTTTTTTTTAAAGATGATTTGAGATTTATACAATGTCCAATATCAATGATTATTTTGTACATACAACACAAACATTTCAACCAAAAACAAAGCCACTATGAGTTATAATTTATTTTGTGCGTATTGTTTTTAAACAGAGTAAAATTATCGTAAACATGACATAACTTCATCAGTTATTATTAACTATTCAAAATTACAAAATACAATATAATTTAAAGATCATACATATACGGGATTATTTTTTTTATTTACCAGAAAAAAGTAATAAGTTATGTAGAATATATATACGATTTTAAATGTGTAGTCATTACATTTTTTATTCAACACTTTTAGTTATTAATAAATAAATTAAATATAAATCTTGAAAACCATGAATTTTACAAACAAAATAATACGAGTTATTTTATTAGTGAAAAAATTAGACCATAGCCGGATGAAGTTGTTCCGGAGATTGGAACAAACTTCATCCTGCTTTGCGGACAGAAATACAGCCAGACAGTACGTGCACTGATATATTTGTTGCAATCAATATTCAATAAAATTAAGTTCTGTATTTTATAAGTGTGTTTATATTTGAAAAGTTACAATAAAAAAATTATAAAACACATTACGTAAATCGAACGTGTCACCGTGATATTACAAATAAGGTATACGTACTATTTAACATACATTTGTTACTTATTGAGAAAAATTGAAGTGTACAAAAATAAATTTGATTTAAAAATAGATGTTGACTTTTAATTACATTTAAATAATATTTTCTGCTTTACATTTAATAACTGAAGAAAGCAAATGTATTCACAGACTTTGGACATTGAACGAAGGTCCAGCGCCTCTGACTTCTAACTCTATGACCTAACTCTACCTACTCTTTGACTGCTGTTCGTTAGTAACTATTTGATCGTCACTCTTTTGCTACCTACTCTTTGACTGCCCCTTTCTGGACTCTATTCTCTTTTGCAGCGTGGTGAGCAGCGCGCCCAGCACGTTGTGGCCCGGCAGCCGCTTGCCGAACAGCAGTCGCTTCACTGAGTCGTCATACGTCAGCAGAGCCACCATGTTTTGCAGCAGGAAACCCTGGCAGTACTCCAGCAGTTGCGTAGCCCCGTACACCTAAAAACAGATTCGTTCTTAGCACATAAGCTAATAAGTCGTCCCCAATAGAATATGTAGAGATATTATTTATTCCGTATTGCTTCATTTATAGTCGAGGTGTAATATTCAGCAGCACCTTGGCGTGTATGTAGACGGAGACGAGGTTGTGCAGGTCGAGTGCGGCGGCGGCGCGCGCCTCACAGTGCCGCTGCAGCGGTAGCAGCTGGAAGAAGGAGGCGGCCGCCAGCACCTCCAGCACGTCACCCTCCGGGATCTGCAGCCCCGCGCACCCGCCGCAGTACAGGTACTTCATCACTTGCTGCACAACACAAGCACGCACCACTGTAAGCTTTCTATTTTTAGTTTTTTCTGGATCCGGCTCAAATGAGCAAGAAGGAGCAATACCTCAAAGATGTGGTATCGTATATCGTTGATCTGCACGAGGGGCGGCGCGGCGGGCGGCAGGTCGGCGCGCGCGGGGGCCAGCATGCTGCGCAGCCGCGGAGACTCCGACACCAGCACGATTTTATGTCCGTAGAACAACCGCCCCTCAACCCTGCACAATATACAGCCGTTTAGTTTTTTAAACTGACAATTTCACCACAATATAACACCGACTTAAAGTGAATATAATTGAACATTACTCTATTTAAAAAATGCCCAGTACGGTGGTAACAACTCTGACCACCATCCAGCTATTTCCATCAACACTATCATACGTCCATTACCGCCGGTGGCTTGTTTACACTAGACAATGGTGGGCACTAAGCTACTTACAAATAAAAATAAATAACAATACACAAGGATAAAAATGTGTTGAATTACCGAAAGGTGACGTCGGCCAGCGAGGGGTTGTTGACGTAGGAGGGGTCGACGCGTGCGGGCGCGGGCGCGGCGGGCGGCGGCTCCTGCACGCGCGGCACCGCCTCCCAGCCGTAGCACGCGCACAGGATGTCCGCCAGCAGCAGCACCGTGCCCTCCTTCTGCACGTCACACAACGACACGCCTCACTCTCTGTCACTCCTCTCTGTCTCTATCTCACAGTAGACTGAGCAAGAAAATCACAGTGGGAGACGACAAAATATTTTTTTTTACAGTACGTTACATAAAATTTCGGGACAAAATTTAAAGTCCCTCAGCTCGTTACCCACGCGGTGAGTGACACGTAAGTTGTAAGTTTAATTCTAACTCACTTTGCTGTACCGGAGGATATTAAACAGCAGCGGGAGGCACTCGTAGATGAATTGATTGCTGTAGTGGCTGTCGTCAGACGGACACACCTGCGGATCATTTCAATATAATAGTCAAAATAGTCATAGTCTAAAAAAACCCGGTGGGAAAGGTGCGGTACATAAATGTAAAACAGTACGGCCTGTACTGTACTGTGTGTACCTGCAGGAAGTCCTGCAGCAGCTGGTCGATGACGTGGTCGAGCGCGGCGTCCGCGGCGGCCGCCAGCGACAGCGTCCACGCGTGCAGCGACCACGGCACGCCCAGCGCGCGCAGCTCCAGCGTTATGTCTGCACCGACCACATACACAACTGTTATTGACTCATTCTGCTGTACTTGATATACTGAGCTTGCGTTTTTAACACTTTTAAATTAGTTTATTTGCAACTTCATGGGGTAATCTTACATACATTATAAAGTAAAAATATAAAAGATTTTGATAGAAGTATGGAAGCATCGGCTACTGGCAGGGTGTCAGTGTCTCGCTCACCGAGGTGGTCGCTCTCGGCCGCGTAGTACATGGCGTCGTGCAGAGCGCGCTGCTGCTGCTTGGTGAAGGGAGGCGCGCGGCCCGCGGGTGGCGGCGAGCCCTCCGCCAGCACCTCCTCCAGCGACAGCACGGCGCCCGCCCCCGCCCCCGCCCCGCGCCCGCCCCGCACCGCCGCCAGCAGGCAGGCGCGCCGCCCGTGCGAGCAGCACACCGCCACCGCACTGCGCACACAACTCACCATTCACATTTCAAGGACTTCTTTTAACACAAAATAACAAGCGAGCAGCGAATCGCTTTTTTAAGTGAAACGGTTGCAGACGTATATGTACCTGTAGCAGCCGTACTGCGCGGCGGCGGAGTAGCAGAGGGCGTCGGTGCGCTGCGTGGAGAGGAAGGGGTCCGCGCCGTGCGCCAGCAGCAGCTGCACCAGTTCCAGGTTGCCGACACCGCACGCCACCTGCATAACACAGTTATCGCGTCATACCTACGTAGCCTTTGAGCCAGACGACTTTTCTTTGTCTCCTGTATGTTGTGCGGGGTCAGACCTGCAGCGGCGTGAGCGTGCAGACGTCGTCACCGCGGGCGGGCGCGCCGTCGACGCGTGCGCCGGCGGCCAGCAGACGCCGCGCCACCTCCAGCGCGCCGGGACCAGCACGACCGCACGCGTACACCAGCGCCGTCCATCCTGGATTACGCATGTCCGATATACGTTTAGTTTAATTAATAACACCCGTTACCTTTTTGGAAGCAGTTAGGGAAATTTGTTTATAGTTTTGTGTATGTATATCACTCGAATGTTACCAGCGTGGAACATTTATTTCGCTTGGCACAAGATCGGCGAAAGTTCACTGAGCTGGCCAACCTCCATTAAATGGAGAGGCACTTTGAGAGAGAGGGAGAGAGAGATATAACTCACCCGCGGTGGGCGGGGTCCAGGAGCAGCGATCTGAGGTGGCGGCGGGCGGAGCGTGCGGGGCGTGCGCGGGGGAGCGCGGGGACAGCAGCGCAGAATGCTGCGCCGCCGCGCCCGCCGTCTCCACGTTTGGGTCCGCGCCCGCCTCCAGCAGCATCTTACATAAAAATCGTTAAATAGAGTAATCGTCTAGTAAAATAGATAGTAAGCACGACTTCAGTGGAATAGCCCCGTACTCGAATGTGAGAATAGCGGCGTTAATTTGTAACACTCACCGCTACAACGTGTTCATCGCCGGCCAGCGCCGCCTTCATGAGCACGGTGAGGCCGGCGGCGTCGGGCGCGTCCAGGCCGTGCGCCGGCAGAAGCGCGCGCGCCCCGCCCAGCAGGTCGGGCCGGCCCGCCAGCAGGGCGCGGTGTGCCAGCGAGAGCGCCAGCCGGCCCAGCTCCTCCGCGCTGCGGGAGCACCGCGCCCACGCAGGCTCCACCTCCTCCTCCGCCCTGCACGCAAAAAAGCGATTGCTTGAGTACCCGATGGCCGAGGCTTACGATAGCATATTAAAGTTTTACTTAAGACGTCTCCAGCTAAACACGATGGAGCCGCGGTCAATCGGATTCACCAAGTTAGGCTTCTACAGATTTGGCACTAACCCGACAGGTCTGGGAGGGCAGTCGGCGTGGGGCAGGAGAAGGCGCGCGGCCTGGCGCACGTCATCTGCGTCCGGCGTGGCGGGCGGAGCGCGCAGGGCGGCGTGAGCGCGCGCGGCTCTCACCCACTCGCCCAGCGGCGGCAGCGCGCCGGCGCCGCGCTCGCCCCACAGCGCCGCCCCCCACGCCGCGCACCCGCCCGCCGCACCCGACACGCCAGACACGGCGGACACGCCTCCGGGCCCACTCGAGTGCTCCAGCTGCAGTACGATATCTCACGTTGAACTATAAGATCTATACAGTGCTGAGTGCGAATGTGCGGTGCCATGTACGGCGACGTCACCTGCGAGCATCGCATGTAGTAGTAGAGCGCGCGCTCGGCGGCGGGCGAGAGCGGCGGCAGCGCGGGCTGCACGCGGCGCAGCACGGCGCGCAGCTCGGCCGCGGAGCCCGCGCAGGTCGTCAGCAGCACCGAGGCGCCGGACGCGGCCGATGCGCCCGAGCTGCCGCCCGACGCCGCCGACGTCCCGGAACCTCCTGAAAAACGCCAATATATTTTATTACGATGGGAATATGCTGGCCGGCTGCACTCGTGTAAACTAATGTGTCTCGGCTTACGCCGACGCATGCGATTGTGTGGCCGCGTACCTTTACGAAATAATTAGCCATTTGATTTATAGCCAAGCTTGGATTTAAATAGTTTCATTATTTAAATCCAAGTATTTTGCGTTTCGTCTGATTACGCAACTTCGTCGAACCCGAGTGGTCGCTTTTTGTGTGACATTTTCTAGCATGATAATGTAAAGCCGGGGCGGTACCGACCTGATCCATTAGTCGTGATCCCGGAGTCATGGCTGAGGCCGAGCTGGCGGTGCTCGGGACGCGGCGCACCCGACGACGACCCCGAGCCCACCGAGCTCATGGACTCCCAGCGAGATAGAGAGAGAGCACCTGTTATATAATTAAAAGCGTTAATTAGTTAGTTAAATGTAACAGCTAGATTATCTTTAACGATGTTGTATAGGGCGCCAACCTGAGGCCACGCGGCCGGCGTTGAGGTGGCTGTAGGGCTGCAGCAGCCCCCACAGATCGGCGCAGTGCGCCACCGCGTGGTCGAGCGCGGCGGGAGAGAGCGGACCGCCGCCATCCGCGACCGCCAGCAGCGCGATCTCCTCCAGCAGCGTCTCCATGCCGGCGCACAGGTAGATGGCCGCGTATCTGTCCATACAGCGATGCGCAATAAGTACCCCCAGCAGTAAAATTCTACACACTCCCTGCTTAAGCCGATCTTCAACATTTAGATTCCTGTATTATTCAGTCAATATCATTTATTCAGTTCAGTTGATGATGCTCACTCGTGCACAAAGGGCGCGACGCGCACGTCCAGCATCCAGCGCTGGAAGCGGCCGGGCGCCAGCGAGGTGCGCGCGCGCGCCGCCGAGCCCAGCCGCCGCGCCGCGCTGCCCGAGGTCGCGTACATCGTCGCCGCGCGCTGACACCCCTGCACCGAGACACGACCAACATATGCATAAACCTTAATATTGAACAAATCCACTTATAAGTTTCAACTAAATTAAATGTTATTAAAATGCAAGTTACCTTGATGCAAGAGTCTGCGAGCGCGGTGCTGAGCACGATGCGGAAGGCGCCGGCCACCTCGTGCTTCGAACAGAAGCCGAAGTTTTGCGATAGGCGCTGCGCCTCCCGCGCCACCCGTACGAGCGCCCTAAAGAATACAAAATTTCATAGAATTAAAATGTACAGTGTTGATATCTTCGTGGATGGGAGAGTGAGGAGCGAACGGGGCGCGGGTACCTCTGCAGCAGGTAGGCGAGGCGCGGCGGGGTGTCGGGCGCCATGCCGGCGGCCAGCTCGCGGCAGCGGCCGGCCTGCAGCGCGCGCGCCACCTCGCTCGCCGTCCACGGCACGCACCGCAGCTCCACCAGTCTGCAACGCACCGCACTGAACTCAGTATAATACGATCTCTTTCAAGATCGACCTATTCTCCGACGGGTATCGTGCGTCGTTAACATTTCGCACGCGAAGCGGTCACCTGTTGTGGGAGTCGACCCAGACGAACTCATCGGCGCTGGTGACGTTGGTGCAGACTGTGTCGAGCGAGGGCTGGCGCACGAGAGGTGCGCGCCGGCGCCGAGAGTCCGCCGCGCTGCCACCGTCTGGAACATATCAAAAGGTACAAGATAACAACATTTGGACGTATTTATGAACTTGCAACTTTTAGGATCTTGACATAGGATCGGATGTCCGGCAGGACTGGCGCGGGTTTACCTGGCGGGCCGGTGTTGCCGCCGCTGGAGGCACCACTGGTGGCCGTGCTGCTGCTGTCGCGCGAGCGCAGCGTCAGCTGCTTGATGGCGGACCTGATGTCCTCCAGCCCGCCGCCTCCTGGCCACGGCGACTGTAACTGCATCATTAATAACAACGATAAGATACGTATATAGCTGGTAGTGACTACAATGGGTTGGATTGTCGCCTGACACCTTGATGTGCGGTTGGCGGGTTGGTCTGGGGTATATTTTGTTAATCACCTTGTTGTGTGGGCGGTGCTTGGTGCGCGCGTGCGGCGGCTGTCGGGCGCGGCGCGGCTCCTCGCGCGCCTCCGCGCCACCGCTGTCCGACATCGAGGCGTGCCCTGAGGACCGGTTCTCGTCCGAGCTGCTGTTGCACTCGCGGACTCCATTCTGAAACATACACATACACATTTATGTTTTCGATCAAACAGTACGAGGATAAGTTACAAAATGTCAATCAACCACCTTCATCTTAGGATTCCGAACCGTAGGACAATAGGATAGAACCGCATCTAGCGTAGCTCTTCTGCCTTGTGATAATTTTCGTTACGTATTTGACATTAAGTTAAAAGCAACACGACTTGGAGACTCTCAACAAAAGAATGATAATTTGATGAGAAGGAATTACACATCGCGAAATAATCAGATATAAATGTAATGAAATAAGAACATAAAGTACGCAATAATTTTTATAATAATTTTATTATACAACCTTGTCATTGTGAGCCTCATAATATTTATGTAACAAATAAGAACAACAGTTATATTCTCATCGCATAATTAAATTAAAACTCCACCTTTTTATCCCAACTCGGTTATGAAACGGTTTCATTCAACTACTGGCTGCGTCTATTGTGGCGGTTTCGCTTTCGTCGTACGACAGGCGCGAGGGCGGGGAGCGGGGAGCGGGGAGCGCAGCTTCCCACAGTGCGCACTTTTCCCTATCGCGAGATCGTGGGACACTGCGCCGTTACAAACAATGCGATGAGTTTTTGCGCGGCCACTTTCGCTCTTACGCGACGCGACATTCGCGGTAATCAGCACGTCTAATTAACGAGATGCGTCGCACGACTCAAGTAAAAACTTGACGTGACGATTCCATATCAAGTTACCTCTAGCAAAGCTTTCGTACTATGTCTGGCACCACAGATACCTATGCAGTTCAAGAGGTCTCTTAGAAACTAAATTCTGACAACTTATCATTGAACTTGTCACATGTTTATAATATTGTCTTTTCAATCAGGGTATAATCTCGTGCTCTTTTAAAATAATGAAACGGAGGAAATACTCTCCTAGTAAAAAAAATATTCGAAAGAAATTGGATAGTATATCAGCCATGCACCTGCCCCAAGTAAGTGCATTGGACGCCAATTTTGTTTATAAGTTAATTACGAGTAAAATGATTTATATCATGAAAAAATGCGATCCATTTCTCTCGAGTGGTTCTCGACTTTTTAAGGTCAAGCCGTGCAATCAATGAGAATGTGTATCCGTTGCCAATCGTGTGATAGCCGGTGAGCCCGTAACTTTAACGCGTGTCTCGCGTGACTGGACGCTGTATGGAAATTCGACCACCGCAGCGCTGGTGCTTGACCCCATAGGCGTTGGAATTGCATTTGTGTTACGGTATGCAATGGTTTTTAGTTTACATTTCCGTTCATTTTGTATTTGTAAACGTAACAAACAAATCTTCGGAACCATTCTTTTGGCAATAGAGCTGAGTAACAAATATGATGGTAATTGGATAGAGGCGGTGTCTTAATGGTGACTTTGTTAAGAAGAAGGTCGATAACATCGTGCCGGTGCAGACCAGGACATGGATAAGATAGGCACAAAATCGCAAGGTATGGAGTGGGAAAGCTGAGGCCTATGTCTAGCTTGAACAGGAATAGGTAAATAGTTTTCGCGTCCCACCGTGAGTGAGTTAAAAGAACTTTTTCTTTATGTCGTAAACCGAAACGTTCGCTCGTAACTTAACTGAGTTTTAACGTGCGTGTATCCGATTAAAATATTTATTGTGTTATAAAAACAAATGAGTGTCCGGGGCGCGGATAATGTATCTAACGGCGATTGCTACACCACCACGTTTTGTAACTCAACCTCGGCACATTCACTATGTTGGTACAAAGAAAAACTTTAACAGATCTTTGCGTATAAATTAACATGGATAATAACAATCTTATTCAATAACATCAATGGTATCAAAGTTAGTACCAGACTTCATTTCTGAACTTACTTAAACGATATTACAGTATCAATATTCTTAATCCCTGTTCTGTCTACGGTACTAAAGCTCATTCGCGGAGATATCTAACTTTCTTACGACTAACTTTGAAAGTTATTAAGAAGTGGACTAAACAATATCAACAAGAAACAGAACATTAAATTTGTATATTACGAACTTTAAAGAAGAAAATTAATAATAACATGAATGAAAAGATCGATAATATGTTTTTATCAATGTTTCCGTAGTGAAAACCCACCGTTACACATGCAGTTGCTTTACCATAAACTGGAGCTCAAGGCACAGTTTGATTTGAATTGAATGGAAATAATGTTCACCACATTCTTGAATTCAACCTCCTTAACATGCTTTACTACTCCTACATCTTTGTTAGTTAGAACAGAAGATATAAATCTTCCCATATATTCACGACATATGTACATGATAATGTATTCATTATTTTTACTGACGATTTAAAAATTAACACAAGCCTTAGTAGCAGGTTAATTTTAAATATTGTAGCTATAATTTTGCACTAGTGTTGGATATTTTATGTATGTTTTCGTGCGTACAAAAGTCAATTATACTAGCCAAAGCCAAAACGAACTTTTAACGAATTTTAGGATTTATAAACAGCGTTACGTAGCACTGCCTACAGTTTCTCTGTTTCAATCAAATAACGGATTAATGCTATGATTTGTCACGGCCCGTTAAATATAAATAAAGTTGAATAAAGTTCAAAGGTTGGAACGCACTTATCAAACTTTAATTCCGTAACGTTGGTACGACCAATAAAATATAATGCGACGGAGCAAAGGGCCGCGACAAGTTTTACCGGCACACGGTTACGACGCCGTAAATTTGAAACTGGCCAGTGAACAGCGGCCAGTGGCTAGTAGCCATAGCTAGCGGCCAGTGGCCATTGCTAATGGTCACCGTTACACCGATAGCTTTTAAAAGTAACAGTTCTATAAACGAAGTCCTCGATAGCATAAAGTGACGATAAGTAAATAGATTCGTTGCTTTCGCTACATTTGACATTGCAAAAAATGTACGCACACAGTATCTGTAATAAGTATACGAATGATTTGGTAACAAATATACTTTTAAAGCAGCGTGAGAGGATGAATTATCTATCCTATAATATAGAGGTGAAAGGTATAAAGAATTTAATGGTCAACTCCTGTCATAAATTGACGTATATAGACATAAATCTGTGCCTTATGTACTGGTTGCGAAACATTGCAGGACCATATGGTCAGCTGACGCAACATGTGAGTACATTCCAAAGTTTGCGGTATTTAATTGCCCTAAATATAACGACTTTAATTTCCTTTAAAGGATTGTAAAGCAAATAAAATTAGACAATTAGTGACTTTTAGCTGTAAAATTGTGTCAAATATTGCAAATATTACATTATATTTAAAAGGTTTTAAGAGAAGTTAATTTTAATTTGGCGAATTCTTAGGTAGTGCAAACTGAATCGTGTATCATTTCACGGCAGGAATTGGAGCGAGAATTATTAAGTGATAAGTTAAAAGAGCGGTGAGTTGCAGCAGAGGTTACACAGCGCGGCACAGCGAATGCAGATTTAACTAACCGTGAGCATTTGATTGACGCAAGGCGCGTCATGCGCTGGCGAAACAAATTCCTCTTGTTACAAAGTAACAGATATGAGTGCTGGTTTATCTTGTTCTACGACTGTTTATAAAAACCCAGGACCTATGATAAAAGAGGAGAGGACGTCGCACGGACTCATATCGGAATAAAAATTATTATTGTATTTGAAAGGTGTATTAATATGGAAAACTATAAACTTGTGAAAGGCATAGACTAAGCGATCAGATGTGTCATAGATCAATTAAATACCGGTTACCTGTATTTGTGGCGCTGTGTCGAGTGCGCGGTGATGGTGCTCGTGTCTGGCGCGGCGGTCGAGAGCGTGACTGCTCTGCGCGGGCGCGCTGCGTACCGGGGCGCTCGCCACCGTCAGCTGCGACACCGCCGCCACCGGCTTCAGCTGCGCCGCCTGCGCAGACTGCGCCTGCGTCGACTGCGCCAACTGCACCGACTGCGCCAACTGAACGGATTGCGCCTCGGCCACTGCTCCGCACTCATCGTGACTGGCTGTTAACAACAATTTCATTATTATTATAAAATCGTATAAAAGTTTAAACAGTTTCTAGAGGTACTCAATAACAATTGGATTCCGCAAACAGCTGTAAACTCTCATTAGATGTAACGATAACAAGGTCTGTCAAGTCAGTACGTAATACTAAAAATTATATGAATTGCCATCTGGTCAGATACTGGTCAGCATTACGGCATTCAACCCGCGGCTGCAGAATGTGGCAATGGCTTGCTAATTAATACAATGAAAGGTATCATAAATCTAAGGACCCGTTTAATTATGCCCACCCATTCTATTTGTTTGTGCAGCAAATATCAACAACTTTAGATGACAGAAGTGGCCGTTAATTATCACTTAAACAATTTCGCGTAATTAAAGAAAGAAAATTACACTTTACTATGCAATATATATTAAAATTAAATACCTTTTTAGATTTAAACTTAGAACTTTTCGTTTTTAGCATAATTTACAGTGTAAAATTTATTGTCTAGTTTGTGCTGATTCTAGGAATCTATTAGCTTCAGCATTCATAATTAAGAGCCGAGCACCGTTAGAACTGGATGGCCGCATACCTCCGCTGGTATTTGAGATCGAATCCTGCGCTATCATGATTCTGTTCAATGGAATTGGATTGTATCTAGATGCGGTCGCGGCTCGCAATTTGTTACGGCAGATGACCATTTGGGGATCGCCCCGACGGACCAGGCGCCGCGCCGCGTCAACGGCGAAATACTCAGATTGCTGTTCTTATTCAAATATTAAAGAAAAGAATACTTTTTAAAGAAATAAATGAAATGTCACCTCAATACAACGGTTTCTTTTTATTCTTGTTAATTTCATTTCTGCGACACTTCAGTTTATTGTATTGATTTACGATCGTCAAACGGTTATCTTAACTCATAATATGTCTTATTTAACTTAAACATTTCTTTCGATGTAAATGTATTTTATGGATTAGACTATTTTGATAATATTATCCTAGTTTCTATATTTTAAACAAAGCGGGACATTGACTTTTACCAAAATATCTGAAAGGGTTAACGGAACTATTATTTTTAACTTGTATCGTTTGCCGGGAGCTTCGTACCGCGTAGCGTGCAGCGCACTCTGCCGGACGGACGCGTAATCAAACAGAAATACGTGAGTCTGATATTCATAAACAACTCCAATACTAACATCAAACAAGTCAACATTTAACAAGACAAAGACGAGATTTTGTACGTCTTCTTATTCTACTTTCTTAACCGCTACTTTGTCTTCAGTTAGAACAACAATAGGCTTTGGTATTTGTGATCATCATCAGCTTGCCCTTTTCCCGACAGAAAGGCAATCTAAATCTAAATAACTGTTTCTAAAGAGACTGCTTTACTAGAGGAACGGTGCTCCAGCAACAGATCGCGTGCCGACTAAACGCAACACTAGCGCCACGCAGATAAATAACTGCAACCTTGCTGTGAGAAATTATTATAATATTAACATACAAATTGAATCTGATTGTCTGGATGTCGAAAAGAGGATTAATTTCGCAAGATTTAGTTAAGGATTGTGACATTCGGCGTCATGTAATTTTATAAAATCTACAGCATTAAATAATATTTTATTTTAAAAACTACAAGTATTGAAATTCGAGTACAGAATAGAATGGAAAAAAGAAAAGTGTTTGCATTTTAATTGAAAATAACAAAAACATACTGCGTGTGAGCAGAGTCACGGGTCGAGCTTGTATGTATATAATAATGCAGTGGTCCCCTGACAGATCTTTGTTCTGGATTTTCGAAAGCAGTTATTTATGTGAACGCTTTGAACCGGTCGCGTGTCCGGAATGTTCTTCTAACGTACAATTTGAGCGGTCACATTGTTTTGTATAAACGACTTCAAGTATACTATGTATGTACCACCTCAAGTATCATTTTAAGTTAAGACCAAGTTATCTCCCGATTAAAAGCTCCCTCAACGACCCTGCTCAGGCTAGCCACATGAGACTTGTAACCTCAGAAACTTAGGGAGGAAGTCCCCAAGTTTAAGTAAATTGAAAAAATACAATACTCACGTTTATTAGGCAAATCGGAGGGTGGCGGGGGAGTTGTAGCCCGATGCGCGGGCGGGGGAGGGGAGAGACGTCGCGCGTGCGCAGGCGCCGCGCCTCCAGACACGCGCACGCGTAGCGCCCGCGCTCCCCCCGCGCCGCTGACAGCACCGGGGCTGGTGACAGTCCCCGCGCCGCTTACTCCAGCACCGGCCACGCCCCCAGCACCGGCGCCAGTTGCAGTGCTGGTAACATTGACAGGTACGGCACTGGATACCCCTGCTGCTCCACTCCAAGATGCTTCTTCGGATGGCCGGCAACCGCTTGAAGGTCTGTATAAGAAAATGAATGTTAATAAAAATTATGTAACCAAGGACTTTTAGGGAAGAAAAACACATTTATGATAAAAAATTATATATTTATTTTCTCAGAATCAATGAGCAAACACAGATGGCATCATTAGTATATCATTAGTATGGTATTGTAAAAAGTGAATAATAAACATTAGGAACCCTAAAACAATCTTTATTATTTTTGTCGATAAAACACGATAAATCCTAAGAGATAACTCGCAATACAAAAACTTCACTCTATTCAAGAAAATAGAGCAAACGATGTAGACATAGAAGGTATAGAATTGTTTTAAATAATTATGTACATTTGCATAAGTTAAATAAGCATAATTTTCACTTAGCTTTGCTACTTATGAACTATGTGAACAGTGAGCGCATCGCTGGGCGATATATTGTGTGACCTCTCCTCGCGTGACCCCTCACTGGAATAAACACTCTCACGCCGCGCCGGCTGTCTGTGGTCTGTGAGGCAGTAGCTCACATAGCACTCAGGATATTGACAGTGGAAACCCACGCGGTCACTAACACTGATTTAATATGTCGTAACTTATCATTAAGTATTTAAGAAACAATTATTCCAGAATATTACAGAAAAGGAATGTAGAAGAAACTCCAAAAACACTCGGATGTTAAACAGTGAATAGGCACCTAGTAAACTAGGCCGCATTATACTCAAAACGGATGATAAAAGCGAATAAATCATCTTAAAATATATACTTCTACTAGTAGGTATTTAATATCCGAGTGGTTTCCGTTAGAGGTCTGTGTTGTCGTGACTCTAGCAGTGCCGTGTAGGATGCATGCAAGAAAGGCGACTTGCATAGCTCGGCAATGTACACGGCACAGCGCGAGGTTATCTATCCGAGCCTCGGCACAAATGTCGTGAACACACATCACTCGCTGTTTACCTATTTACAATAACATTGGATACACAAAATACTCGTAAGTTCCTAACTTGCAGATAATTGGACCTATTTCACTGGAAGAAATATTTTTAATCAGAATTTCTTAAAATTGGTCTACTATTCGATGATGGGATAGTGTAAAGCGTCTTTTGGTTATGAACCATCCTTAATGGAGCGATAAACTGTTTCATGTAATAGTCCATTTTGTGTAACGGCTCTCTTAGAATTCCACTGACCGAGGCTGGCAGATAAAGGCGTGACGAAAGTGTCGGCGATGCCGCATCCAATCGAGCAATGCTTACACTCGGGCCACACAACTGTGCATCTGCCGCGACCGTTGTGCCACACTTTAGTTTCTACAATTGCCTATAACGTGGTCTTTGGAACAATTGGTTTGATAATCTCCATTCGAGCCCTAGTAGGCAGATGAGTTTGATGGACCATGGTAGTCATGTTTCTGAAATTATTTATATTAGTTTTATGGCTATCTACTAAGTTATGTTGCAGTATTTACCATCTGAGCAATTCTCTAATCAAAGACATTAATACTGAAATTTATATCATGACATGTAAGTGGTTATTTTTGTGTAATTATGGTTTCCAGAAGTATTTTCATTGTAGACCACAACTGATTACTTTAGCTTGGAGAGTTTGTGTATAATTGCTTGTTTTCTATCGCATAAAGATTGCTTTGATACGGAACTGCTTTACTGCGGTCCATTACGTTTCACGCAGCTTATTACACTCTTGGTGCAAGAAAAAGTATATCTCTGACGTCATGCACTCACCACTGATAGTAAGAAAGCGTTTGCAAGATGAAAGCTTTGCCGCAGCAGTTACTCCATGAAATGTAGCAAGGATTAGACTTTATACTCAGCCGTTAGTTTGATTGACGTACTGCAGGCCATTTCATCATAGTGTTTTAGATGTTAAAAGTGGCAAGTGGTTACTAAGGACACAACAGGCACTAAGACAGGGACAAACTCAGGATAAAGACAGTGACAAACACATGCGTGGGACGACAGGGAAATTAACGACAGTTCGATAAACAGCCACGAGGCGAAAATGTTTTACAAGCAGAAATGACGGAGATATTAATTTGTCGCCATGAATATTAATATTATTTGATATTTAAATATTCGTTCATCTTATTAAGCTTTGACATGCTTTTCTTGACACTCTTAAATGTATTCTTAAAGGGTCAACAATCCTGTAACACCCATAAAGATGGAAGAATTTTTCCTCGGCAACACTTTTTATTATATGGGACTCGAATAGATGCGATTGAAAAGACGAAATTGAATATATAAAAGTTATTAGTTTCTGTTTTCGTTTGTAAAATTTGTCACAAACTAATTATGTATGTGTACAGCCAGCGCAGCACACATTTACAATATTTATTGTGAAATAAATCTAAATTAATAGTTTGGATGCAACTTAAATAAAACTAACGACGCCTATCAGCGATGTTTTTAAAACGAGATGGCTATTTGATAGTTTGAAAGTGTCAATAAAAGTTTGTAGGAAGATGTTACGCGCTCGAAGAATTTGAGGAAATGCGTCATTAAACGAGAAAATGTCCGGATCCGATGTCAATGTACGTCGGCTGGAAGACGCGTGGCGAGGCGTGGGTTCTCATGATGAGAAAGTAATGATAGTAGTTAAACATAAAATTAATCACGTAAAAACAATACATTACTTTGATGTTAACGTGGAACTAGTTAAGATTATTTAATAAGTTAAGTCTTAAATATGATTACTGCTCATAGATATTTTGAGCAGCAGTCAACTGTGGGACCACACCGCGTCTCACATGAGGAGTACCGTTTTAATTGGCCACGAGGCGTGACCGCAGGTGGCCAAAACAAATTTACTAAATGTTCCTGTTCTAGCGATTCTAAACTATAACACACATGACATAAATGTTGTTTTGGGAACACACGGTGTGAATCGTCCTTGGGCGTCCTTCGCGGCTGTTAACGTTTTATTACGTTGTAAATAAATTAAATGTTTAAAGAGATTTGCGGAAGGGAAATGTTCACAATTCGTAAATAACCAAATATGTTTTTACTTTTTTAATTTATTAAAAAAATATCGACATTGAAATTTTACATACAGCCAGAGAAATAGAAGAGAATAAAAATTATGTAAAACAAATTAACTTCATTTTAAAATAATAATTTATTTTGAACTTATACACTTCTGTATCTATTTTAGCTTCTAAAACAACTCTCGAGATTTATTCAGCAATAAACAATAATAAAAAATCAAAAATCCGAATGAAAATATTTTAAGTAAATCTCTTTGATTTCGAACGAGCGATAGGAAAAATCAAACAACAACGTGTCTAATGCATTCAGCTTTGCCTTGCCGTAAGAAAGTGAAGATAATATCCGTAGATAAAGTATCTTTGGCCACTGTTACGACATTGTTTCCGTCAGATTGTAAATCATCTGCTTTAATTGCAAACCATATGGAAACATTTTAAAACAGAAAGCCGCTCAGTTCTCACGCGTTGTGTGGAAAATTTTCTTTGATTTCAAATATCTTAATATTGTGCAATAATACTAATTACCAACGACCACTTTTATGAGATTTACTGAACATTATTTGCAAGTTTGCAATATGAAATAAAAAAATATGAATAAAGAATGAAGTGATGTATGAAAAGATGTCTTTTAAAGTATTCTCCTTCAATTGTAAATAGTATTTAACAACGCGAACTGTTTTGTTAACTTGAACTTAATCAAGTATGATAATTGAGGTACTTTTATTCGCTTTGTACATTTGGGCAACAAGCCAGACATGACGAAACTTTTCATCAACTTTGGAAATAAGCCAATAAAATACTTATTACAATTGTGGAAAACGAAAGTTACGAGTGAAAGCATTGTAAGTTGTTCTTAGATTATGTTCACTTACAATGTAAACTCTCACGCTCACAAACTGATGTTTTAGATTATACGTATGAAATGAAGCGAAAGATAAATCAGTAGCGAAATAATTAAATATCAAAAAAACATAACTTATAAGGTTGACGTAAGATTACTAAAAAGGGACTTTATAAAAAGCAAAAGATATAGTTTGTTTCTGATCGAGTTAATGGTAATACGTGAGAAAGTCGTAAATGTTTGTTTTTGAATTCTGTTCGCGACCAAAGTGCATGTTACGTGACCTTGACTCTAGATCCGATCCTTTCTCTGTACTGATTGCGAATGCGCATCTATTATAGAAAGCTAGGATAAGTGAGAGTATGTTTGTACTATTTTATGCAGCCAATCACACCAGAAATTCTGTCGTCCCTTTTGCTTTTCCTTGAATAAGCTGAGATAGGTATATTTTTGTGTATTATTGACATATAATACGTAATATTAGTAGAACTGCATGACACAATCTATTTCCTGTTGCCGGAAGAAAGATGTGTTGCTGTTCACTGCTCTATTATCCATTATCATTGTAAACATTATTTGCTTTCGTATTTTTCTTCCTACTTTATAACAAGCACAAAGAATAGTTTAGACAACAAATATATGACAATGGAGAATTTGATAAACGATAAATCTACAGCGCCACCATCAGGTTGTTATCAGAATCATATAAAAATAAGCATTCCTTGATTCTTGCCTGAAGAAAAAAAGGCAAGGTACTTTGACCAGGTGCAAGCAATTATTATCAGTTCTAAGCAATTAGACTTATTACTTCGCCCCGCGTCCCGCCGCAGCCTTTGCGGTGACTGCCCGCACACATAAACTTTGCCGCATCTTTGCCTTAGCATTTATAATAAATTTTAACTTCAAACTATTCTATTGCCGCTTTCATGTTTGAACGAAATTTAAAATACTTAAATACTTTAAATTAAGTACAAACGTTAGTAGGCGTTGTGCAACAAATAGTTGCAGATTAAAACAATAAAATTGGTACTAAAACTAAATCAAAAGTGTAATACATATACATAAAAGACTAATATTAAGCTATTATTACAGTATTTTAAAAAGAAGAATGCAATAAAACTTTTATATAACAACGTTATCTGCGATCAGCGCGTGGTGAGAGATTTCCTCAAAACAATAAACAATTCGAAATGTAAGACAAGACATACCGTAACGGTTTGGAAGAGCATTAATTATACCTTCAAATTACACAAACACAAACGAGGCTAGAATTAAATAGACCAGTCGAAGTTGAGACGACTCACCGTTTCCTCCAGTCCTGTATGAAGCTCCAGTCGCATTGGTCCTCATCGTCCAGCGTAGTGGCTTCGTGCCGCTCCCCGCCGCCGTGCACCAGCTCCACCAGCTGCCGAGCTCTCTCAAAATTACCCTCAAACTCCACCACCAGAAACCCATCTGGGCTCACAGATTCGAACACGTCCTTCTTGTACGTCGCGTCATTGATAGCAGTCACTTCTGGAACTTCTAATTCACCTTCAGGTTTTATCTCTGCATATATGGCCTCGGGCACTTCGATTTCTGATATCATCTGCGTCCCGCCCTTGTCTTCTTCTCTACTCACGCTCACATTATTGGCATCTTCTACTATACGGTTCACATATATAGCTTCATCTTTCGAAGGTGTTGCCTCTCTCTGTCTAGTTTCTTTTTCTTCCCTCTTCTGCTCACTATGCTTCCGGATGATGGAGTCTCCGAAGTAAATAACGACTTTGTTGTTGTTTTGGGTAATTTTGTTTGCCAGTCCTCCGTCTACAACGGGTTTCGTTTTTTTATTTTTATCTTGTGACAACCGTTCGGCCAACTCCTCGTAGCAGGGCGGTCTGTTATTGTAAATCTTTTTCTCGGCTACGGAACCTTTGGTATCGTCTTTCTTTTTTTCGACACTCTTGTACACAGGCGGTCGACAGCAGTCGTCGAGCTGCGACGCCCAGTGCTTGGGTTCATTGTAAATGAGCTCCTTGTGAGAGGACACCTGCGGCAAGGGGATGTATTTCTCGTGTGTGGACTTCGAAGGCGAACCTTCGTTTTTTCTAAAGTTGAGCACACTCCTCCGCACTTTAGATTCCGAAGGTTCGTTATTGTTAACTTTTTTCGGTCGCGCATTTCCTAGTAACTTAAACAGTGGTTTATGTTCCGTATGCGGCTTGATCCTGTCCGTGCTGGGAGCTTTCCGGAGAGGATAGGGACCGGGTTCTTCTTCAGATTTCGGATACAGCTGTTCACAGCTCGTCGACTTATGCGTAGCTATCCTGGCCTTGGGGTGGGCCTGAGGCTCTCTGTTCTGCCAGTGCCTTACGGAGAGTCTCGCGGCGCCGCGGATAAATTTTATAGGCTCCCAGGCATCCGCCTTTTTGAGTATAAAGTTGTCGGCCATATTGTGTTTGTTGGGCGGCTTCCTGGCGTCAGCGGCACGGCAGGACTGCAGCTCGCGGCACAGGAAGCAGGAGCAGCGCGCAGAACACAGCATGTCTGCGCCGCGGTGTCGGGCGCACTGTCACGCCGCCGCCGCCGCAACATCCATTGTTGTCCCCCGCTACTCGCGCCGCGGCCTGCGAGCTGCGAGCTTCACGGATTAGCGTTACCGCTGCGGCGCGGCCGGGGCGCACTTGTAGGCTGCCGGTAATGGCTATGTTACATGAAAGTCTTTCTAGCGTTTTGCATACTGCTGACGCACTTTGTACGCAAACGTGGTGTGAGTAAAAAAAACAGTATCTAAATAAGAACGTAAAAAATAGACAGCTTAAATTAGGAATTTATCAAATATGTTTAAGGTTTTGATCACAATAGCTGACAATTCCCTTATATAGCAAACCCGCTCTTATTCAATCAATTCGCAGTCTATAAAAGTTAAAATGTATGGCTAAAAACAAACGCAACCAAACCTAATTCGATATCTGTCAAACATTTGAATCACATAAGTAACGTTACATAGTCTTGTATCGAGATCAACATTTACAAACATTTTGCAATTATTTCGTTGCTCAATTCTTGAACTAGGATGACTGAACAAAATTGAATAAATGATAAAATCGGCTAAAAATGAGTAAGACCAATCACCATTGACTTTAAAATGTAATTCATAATTAAATTATCTGCTTACTTTTTTAATTTTCCAGTTACGGATAAGAAATTAACTCTGTAAATTTATCACAAAGCTGCTAAATGAGGGTTATTATTGCTGCGGGCCAGGTTATCTAGTTCTATTGTAGAGCATACTTAGTTTCCTGCGCTGTGATACATTTTGTCGAAGTTTATAATTATTTATTATCGTAATGTTTGCACATTTGTATTTTAAACCGTTTGCTATCAAGATGAAGATGAATAACTTAAAGTTAAGAACGTCTAAATATATCACAGTGTCTGCTTCGTGTACGTTCTACACTGAAGTGCTGTCTTACAAGTGGCTTGAAATGGCCGCTCGTTTGGGATTCGATTATGAAATGTTTATGCAGTTCACCTCTATCGTGATTAACGAGAGACAGATGTTTTTGACGTTATCTTAATATTTAAATTGTTTGAAATTAGTAATTAATCAATTTCTCAATTAACTAACTGCATTCGGTAAGGTGCTGTGGTAAAGGAATAATCGTGATGCAACCTGCACAAGAAATGTGCGAAGAAATGCAAAGACATGTGTCTAGTCAACCAACCCCCACTGGGCCAGCGTCGTTAACTGTGGCCACACCTAACTTAGTATAGTGTATAGTGAGCTAATGATGAAGTAACACATCTGATTGTTCAGAAATCGATTATATTTTTAAGCTGTGTTTTCTTCAACACTTGATGAAAATCATAACAAGTCAGAGGCGCGTCTCCATCACTTTTCATTTGCTATGAGAAGACGAGGCAAAAGTATTAAGAACAATGGTGTGTGCGGGACTTTCTCTGGGCCCTGGGATGGGAAGCTTGTTAATTATTGTTACGGCGCACAATATCTCGCCGTATACGTTTTATGCAATGAAAGTAACTGTTACTGAACGTAATTACTGTCTTTTTGTTATCCATTTAGTGCTCGTGATTCGCGTAACACGACTCTGATCGAATAAAATCTCATCGCCAGTGAGAATGTTCTTACCATTGTCTATTATGAATATTATATGATTTTATATTATATTTTTGTGCTCAAAATATCAGCAAAACCATCAAAATAATGTATTCTCAAAAACGACTTTAACATATTTTAAGGATATAATATTTTGCAAGAAACTTTTAATCTTAACGATAAAGACAGTTCGCCTCCACTTCTATCGGGTTGAATATAAACATTTGAATCTATTATAAACTATTCATAAATCAAGTTCATTTCTTATACAAAAATGTCTATTAACATTGGTATGCAGTAAAAATATGATGCGCGGAATAAAGTTGGTTAGATTGTGAGTAAGATGTCTCGGAGATGTAATAAGTATCAAGATATACCTCGCGATGCTTTTTATTCAATTGTAAACTTTTTTCTCCGACCACGAATATCGAATGTATAGTGATGGGATATTGTAAAACTTGCTCTTTTTTATTTAGAATTCGTTAACATTATATATTATAATTTTTATCGAATAATTTAACAAACTAATTCGTCTGACACGACTTAACATTTTTCCAAGGACCGGAAACAAAGGAACAAAGACAACTTTAAAAAAATCATTATTTTTCGCTTCATCGTATTATATATGTCAGACAAACATACTAGAACTATTTTATCTGATGTGGCGTTGCTCAAAATACCTATTTATTCGGCAGCAAGCCATTTAATAAGAATGACTTATTGCTACATACAGAGTTGTTAAGTAGTCCTTTTAGTAAAGATTTAGTAAAACCTACGCTTAGAATCTCCTTGTGTCATCATGAACATAACTTAGTTGATAAATATTAGTCGAGACGGAGAAGACCAGCGGACAAGAGACAGGCATGGTACCGCACTAGTATGATTTTGAATTCATTGACACGAAGATAAAAATGTCGGCGTGTGAACGCTGGCCGGGTAGCGGCTGAGCGCTGCTATGTCATTTCATTAGGTGCACGCAGCAATTATAAAGGTGTAATGGAATACTTTATTTTATCATTTTATGATATTCTTCAGACCTAGCTTCGATTATACATTTTTCATTATTTTTTTAATTAAATTGATCGAAACATCGATAAAACCTTACAAATCCTAAGGGCGCGAAATCAATGTTTGCCGTTTCAAATTAATTACGATGAAACGTTTTCAGAATTGAAAATAAAACATGTAATTATTTTATTAAAAACCGATATAAATTACGGACATGTTGATGACATTTGGATGTCATATGAACATCGACTTTTGAGTCTGTGTTTACTTTCAAAGCAAAAAATATTGTTGCCTAGAAAATTTGCCAATCAGCTTCATTTAAAGTATCCATTAATACAGTACGTATTGATTCTTATATCTTAGAGGTAGAATTTACGCAAAATTTAACTGCTGTGCTGATTGTTTTTTTTTATTAAGACAAGATATCTGTGAGATTCTTTGCCAATGCTTTGCCATAACATGTTACAAAGTGTGACAAAAGTAGTATTATTGTAAAACATATGCCCGCGAAGGTTTCTGGGGCGGCGATGGTGAGGTATCAGTGCGCCATGACGTCGAGAGGCCGCGTTATTTACGCAGAACCAAATAAATTGACACAGAGGCAGCGAAACAAATTATACAGTAATTTGCGAGAGGCATCCGGCTACCGGACGGCAGTCGGGCCGGGGGCGTGCGCCAAAAAAACTACATCCAACCAAACAGGATTTATCTCGGGACTACACTACACTGTCTACACTACGATATTCCTAAATTTGTACAAATACAGTGGAAAACTTTCGTACTGTGTTTTCATTTTTATGCTATATAATTTATAAAGTAACAAATAAAGATACTCGTAATAATGTCAGACTAACTTCACGACCCTTGAATCTTCGGCAATAACGTCATGTTAAACAATAGGGCCCTTAACTGACCAAAGATCTAATGATAATACTATATGTATAATAATATATATTCTAAGCATTTAAGAATGAGAAGTTTCAATAATTTTCCAGTGACGCATGAGATTTGTCCTGTATCCTGTTAAAAGCGTTGTTACCCTGCACAATCCGGAATGTCGGCAGCGCTACGTTTCGACAGTCGGCAGTCGACAGGTGCATCGCATGCGATTTTATCGTTGTTTAAAATCGTACATTAGTCTTTTGCTTGATTTAGCACAGCCCAAAACAATAATACCCCAAAAATAAGTAAATAAATTCTTCAGATCCCGACTTGAGGTAGCAAGGGATTGATTTGATACCTGTCACTTTTATTCTGATGCTGAACAAGGAACACGTGTCAACAATCCTTTATGTTACTCATTACATTCATATTTTTATTGATCACGAACTCTACCTGCTTTTGTTAGTAAGTGATACATCGTACAATACTATGGTATTGCATTGCATTGAATTTTAAAAGAGGATTTGTAAGTTAGCTTTGAGAAAGGAATATGCAATTAATAATGTCATCATATCGCTATCTGCGGGGCTGCAGGTTGCGCGCCGCGGCACCAGACAAATGTCTCCTAATTGCGAGCGACGCGGCCGCGCCCTGCCCGTGTGCTCCTCCCGCGTACCTCTACAATGTAAGTCGGTCGTTTACTCATGTTAATCCAATGTTTTAATTAAGGCTTTCGACCGCTTCGTTTAAATTGGACGATATTTCATTTGTTTCTTTTATTTTATTTTTAAATTAAGCAACTTCATTCGATACTTTTTAAAGATCGATCCCTATTCCGACGATGGAGTTAGAGAGAGGTAAAGATGCAAGTAATGGATGTGTCGGTTACTTTTGATTAGTAAGTATTAGTTCATGGTAATAAGTCTACTCCTGCTTCATACTTCATAATAAACATTATCTCAACTACTGCCATCTAGTGATGTGTTGAGAGGTCAGTACGAGATCGCGGCGGTCGCGGCGGAGGTGGGCCAACGGCCGGTCTCCTCACCGACCTGCATTACCATCTTCTGTCAATAACTTTAGCATAATGCGCCCATTGAAGCTGCATTAGTGTCAGCTCGATCACACGGCTACTAATGCCTGATGCTATACCTAAAAAATATCAAGAATAGAAGTCCTAGTAGAAAAATAGTGTGACCAGGCTTTAAACCATCCAAACATGACATGGACTTCAATACATTCGTAATATATGCAATCGAACAAGTAACCGCAGTATGAAGTGTTGTGTTGCCGACAGACAAACAAAGCGGACACTTGTAATGCAATCTCGCATTTTCTACGGTGAATTACGAACGGTCTAATCAGACTCCAGAAAACAGGTTAATGCGCATAAGAAAGGAGGAAAACCATTTCAATAGTGTAGATCTATTACATTATAAATTCAACTCACAAACAATGTGGTCACCCTATAGCAACAAATTAAAGCAGCTTGACAAATTCAAATGAGCGCTCATAAAAATCGTGTACATCACAGTAAAGTTTTGCAA